AATTCCAAGATAGTTGATGTGATTACCTGGTATCACAGAAAATTTGACCATAACAACAGTGTTAAATAAGTTCTATGAAAATAATGCACGAAAAGTGCCCTGTACTGTGTCCCTAGTACGGGGCCATGTTGAGTGTGTGCGTTATTATTGCTATGAGTGTGTAAATATAAATGTTTGCACATTTGAAACTTTTAATGATGATGTGGGAATAAGGCGAGCCTATGAAACAAAAGCAGCAATTAGTAATTTCAAATAATTTGCTCTAAACAAAATAGTAGGCTCTTTTGCATTTACATTTCAACAATTCCTCGTCAGTACCATAGTATGTATAGTGGTCTGGCGCACCTGGGCAACAAACGGCGAGTATCATATACCATAGTAAAATGACAACGATGTCATTTATTACTTGTAAATCAACAACAGTCGCGGAATTTAATGAGCAGTGATCCTACCATGACTTTACAATAATAACTGTAGCTAGCGACCGCATTAAATGTTACTTCTTGTGACCTCTAGGGGCGCTGTACAATTTTCCGTATAAAAATGCAAAATACTTTAGGCGGTCACTAACGACGACTGTAGCTGTAATTTCACGGTAGAGATTGCTACATTGTTTGTACGTAGTTTTACGGAAAAAATTGAAAATATTTTCTAAATTACTTAGACACATATATTTTTGTAGCGGTAGAGCTCCTTGTGAAGGAGTTCGTTCAGGGTAGTACTGCCACCTTATCTATTTCCGCCGCCAAGCAGTAATGCTCGCGTTACTGCGTTCCGGATTCGAAGGGTAAGGGTGCTGGTGAAATTACAGGCATATGAGACTTTTCAACTTATATCGGTGACGGGTGCACTGGAAATGCCCTTTAAGCTGCACTGCAACTGTTATGGACAGGCGTGACGTTTATAAGGCGTGATATTTACCACCAGACGCACGACTTGTTCGTACCGACATCTAGTATCATAAAAAAAAACGTACAATATATTTTTTTAATATTTTATTTACTTCTATTTTTGCTAAAACAAATGCTCACTCTAACATTTACTAGTGACTTCAGTTCGAATTTTAAGAAAATTAAATTAGCAATCTGAATAAGGTTAGAATCTAAAAGCTAAAATTAAACAAAAAGGTCTTCGTTGAAAATTATTTTACACAAACCTATGAAATTAATTCATTTTCACAGGATTCTTACTACATTTGTTTAATAAATGAGCAAATAAGTTTAAACCAAACTAATTTCTAGTCCCTCTCTCATGCTACGATATACAAAACGTACAACGCTACGAGTGACCTACGACGAGACGTAGCAGCGTAGCTGTGTGGGCGGTACTCAGTAAGAAGCTTATTTTAATTCCTGACCTACTTCATACCCGTCTTGTTGAACGAATAAAATCATTTCTTGTTCATTTGCTGCACTACATCAACTAGTACACATCACGATAGTAATTAATTTAATTAAATAACTTTTATTAAGGAATATAGTAATTACGTATTCGACAAGTACCGGCGAATTAATGCTTTTAATTACCATTTGACTGGCTCGGTAGCTGAGCGGTCACCACTATAGTCACTTAAAAAAGAAGTCCTTTGTTCGACTCCCGGAAGCACCAATTTATAAAAGGAACTTTTGTAATTTGTTAACGGTCTGGGTGTTGTCATAATACTACGTTAAGGTGTTACTCTGGTGTCTGGACTCATAATTAAGGTAATACTGTAACTTAAGACCCGCTGGTTGATGAGGTCTGGCTTAATTAAATAACAGGAGTATCAGGAATTAGAAAGAAACGGCAATCTTGTTTGTAACATTGTGACCTTAGTAGCGTTATATAGGCTATATGCTGATGATCATATTGCTAAAGGGATGAAACATCCCCCTGCCCTCGGCTAACCCTTTAAGATTTATGGTGTAAGTTGATATATCCAAAAACAAACAGACTCATTTTCGGCTTGTTCGCGTGAGTTGGGTCATGTAATAAAAATAAAGAAAAAATAAAAATCAATTCTTCAAAATTACGAACGAAAGTAACGAAACTAATAATTAATATTAAAATGCTAAAGAACCACACCAATTATTAGGTCAAACTAGGGATTTCTCAGCAAAGGAATTCACTATTAGGCACTGCTCAGGACACAGAAGCAATTTAAAAACTTCATTTCGCAAATCGGTCCTGCTGGAAACCGAAGCCGAGACCTCCTCATCCAACGCGCACCGTGTAAACGTTTGGGACACATGGTCGTGATAAATTAGAAAAATAATGCAAAAGGAAATTAAAAAAAATAGACGTCTTAACATCGTTCTCCGCGCTCGACTGGCTCATTATTGCATCTTCTCCCTTCTCTTGTTCGGAGCAGAAGCTTGAACACTCACAGAATCTATGCACAAAAAAGTGGAAGCCTTCGAAATGTGGATGTATAACAGAATGTTGAGAGTATCGTGGAGAGACAAAGTCACGAGTACTGCAACGTGTTAGTCGAAAGCGAGAAGTGTTGAATAACATCAAAAGAAGAAAACTTGATTAACTGGGTCATATACTAAGAAACCCAAAGTACGACCTATTAAAATTAATAATCCAGGCAAAATACAAGGAAAGAGAGGTGTAGGAAGAAGGAGAATATCCTGGCTCAGAAATTTGCGCCAGCGGTTCAAAGAGAACACCCGATCATTATTAAGAGCTGCAATGTCCAAAGTTCAGATTATAATTATAATAATAACGCACACACTCAACATAGCCCCGCACTAGGGAAACCCTGTGTCGCGGGTGTCATGGACACACACATAGACAACCACAAATTACACCCAAACTCACGAGAGAAATAAATGTAGGCCATACAAATATTTCTCCAGGCCCGGGAAACGAACCTGGGACCTCTGCGTGGCAGTCCGGCATGGTAACCGTTCGGCCACGGAGGCAGTTTGCCATCATGATCACCGACCTTCATTAGAAGATGGCACATAAAGAAGAAGAAGGAACAAAAAAAGTAAAAAAATATGTTAGAAAACAAAATCACAACAAAGCAGTATAAAATTAAAATAAAAAATTATTCACAAAAACAAAAACATTAAAATATAAAGATACCTTATGTGGTGCCAGCTGCGGGTAGCAAAAGGGTCACTTGCTCAGAATTGAGCGAAAAACATTGAGCCAAAAATAACTAATTCCAGAAAATCCAACATAATTTAACATGTTGTTAACCACGAACCTTTTTAGGGGATGGCCCAATACTTGAATCGAATTTAACCTACATAAGCTGCTATTAAGCTCTTACACATTGTTAAAATGAATGATTTAATAGCAAATGGCACCAATTACCAGTTTCAAATTCGAGAAATCAAAATTCTAGCTAGTAAGCGCAAAAAGGAATCCAATAGTAATCATAAAGAAATAATTAAAGACTACGGACCTCCACTATCCTATGTCCATTTCGCTTTGTCAGTGTCAGTTAATTACTTAGAACATTTTTCAGGCTTCTGTTACGTAAACATTTTTAAATATATGCTTCAAAGACCCGACCACGCGATCACACTAATAAACGTTTTCATGTGTGTGTATTTGTGTGCTGTGTGAAGAAATTCCTATAGCGGTATGTAGTTTAATAAAATATATATATCTTCAGTAAAAATTTTTTACAACGCTTTTTTAACAATTTCATAATTAAGTTTTTTGCATTACAAAACTCATTACCAATTGTATTTTTCGTAAATTTTTCGATTCGCTACTCCATGTATGCCGTCCATTATGAAATAATATAATCTTTTCGACGTCGTTTCGAGAGATATACACCGACTTGTCTACGGCATAAGCTTCTTAATTAATCACTTAATTAAGTAGTAAGTAAGTAAATTTAACTAGATCCACCTCGAAGATCGTAGGCAAATGTCTCTTCTAAATATTTTATATTCTCGACTATAGCAATTCTTGCTCGTTTTATGCGTACACAATTATTTAGTATTTCAATGTTAAAGATAAACGTTTCACAAAATGGACCATTATACAAGATTATACAGACCTCATCATGATTTTTTTCCTTAGTATTATGAGGTACAACAAGACAGCACTACACTCAAGTTTAAGCAAAAGATGAAGTGAATATTTTCCTTTATATTTTTCCTCTTACATCGTTATTGTTTGTTTACTATACACGTTATGTACAACTTCATGATCTAAGTGGAAAATGACCTGGGCTTAATTTTTTAAATTTTATTCTAGTCTTGGTGCTCTGAGCACTGCCCCATAGGGAATTTTCTAGTTTAAGACCAGGTACTAAATGTGTGGTTGCCTGACATATTAATTATAATTGAGGGTCAGACTTATAATATGACATAATACGTTCGAAGTATTGTTTGTAATTTGTTATCTAAAATGGTACAAACCATGTTAAATAGATTTAGCCACAATTCTATATTAAAATTTCAAACGGTCTATGGATGCATAAACTTTTTTTTTATAAAAAAAATAAAGAAGTTAATAGGCTTATAGCTTTAAATCAGCCACTAGCTTTTTGTTATCCAAATAAACAGATTTTGAAAATCAAGTCTAATTTTTTTGGTTATACTTAGTTGCATAAAAAATGCAGTTATTTTAACTTCATTAACAATTTCACAATATTTCGTAAATATTCAAACTAACGATGTTGTAAAAACAATTTCATATTTTAAAACGCAATAAAGTCACAAAATAGAATTGTGAAAATAAAACACTATTTTTTAAAACACAAAATTACAAAACCAAATAATCAAAATTCACTCTTGTCCGCGCTTTTCGCCCCTATTTTTTCGCAAAGAAAGACCAAATTCCAGTCACAATATTCTTGCCTTTTTATTTTATTTGGTATGAAGTTTGATATGTATATATTATAAATTAAAATTCAGTACCTACTTACTAATCCCGTTATTATTATTATTACACAAAAAGTTAAAATTTTTATTTTCCTATTTTTCCCAAATTCAATTTTGTCTCTTTTTGTTTTTAATTATCAGAAAATCTTTAGTTACAAATCCTACCTTCGTTGGCACGCGTATCCCTCGAGTCGTCGACGATCAACAGGTGCGGTCGCCGCGCTCGGTCGAGCTGGAGCTCGGCTGGCGTCGTCGCGGACAAGTCGCCCATCGCGGCCGGCGGTCGGGGCGCGAATGGCAAACAGGAGCGCCCGACACACTGGGATAGGGAAGCAGGTAACGCCGAGACAAGGTTAAATGACGTCGTACATTTCAAAAATGTAACTTCTTTTTCGATAAGGTCGCGAAAAAACAGGAAACCAAATACGTGGTGTATTTGGTTTCCTCTTTTTTCGTGCTTTAATTCATCGCTAGTAGCGATAACTCGACATACAAAAGCGATGGAGCTAGGAGATATATATCTCCTGAATACCATGAAGATAGAACAGGTAATGGAGAAATGTAAATGTTCCGTGTATCATTTAGGTTCTCGAGTTTCTCTCAGAGAAAAATTTCAAGAGACAGGTATCATCGCAGTACATGTAGTCAAATATTCTGTATGCTCGTAAAAGTATACATAATTTCATTAAGAAAGAAAATATCCATAATATTAATCTTAGAACTAAGTCCAAACTCATGTACCACGATGTCGTTTAACTAAGGTAGACGATTCTTTTATGGCGAACTGATTATGTTTTTACAATAAGATTCCGGAGCATATCATTTAGATATCATTTCCTAAGTTTTAAAGTTACATTAAAAGTATTTTAATTAAAAAGTCATTTTAGAAAATTGAAGAGTATGTGTTAGATAAAGATGTATGGAAAGACAACATGAGGTTAGATTCCACACAATTATGATTCAATGTGTATTCCGTAGCATTTAAGTTTATTTGAAACGAGCAATGCCTAGAGTTTCTTGCTCGTTCTTCTCAGGAAGGTCAGCGCAGTGAACGGGCAGTAACTTAAAAAATTACGTTTTCAAGTGTAATAATTTTTACCTGAGGAATATATAATTGTTTGACTTTGTTAAAATCTTTTCTTATGATACCAAGTGACGTGACGAACAAATCGTGCGCCGGCTGGTAAGCGACACACCTGTTCAAAGCAGTTGCACCCAATCCGAGCTTAAATTGCAAAGATCTGAGGGAAGCTACCACTGACTGCATCAGTAATTTCACCAACACCCTTACCTTTCAAAAGCCGAACGCAGTAATGTACATTACTACTAGGCGTCAGAAATACTTAAGGTAAGCTGGACTACTACTGCCGTCCATTAACTAAAACGCGGCTAAGTGACAAATGGTCAAATAGCCGTTTTAAATAACAGAAAATAGAACAGTTAAAATTTGTTAACGTGTTCGAACGAACTCTTTCACAAGGAACTCTACTGCTACTAGGGTTTTGGTGTTTGTTTATTTTGAAATTTACGGTTTGCTCTCTGTTCTTTAGGTTATAAGCTCCCACTCGCTATTCAACCTATATGTAAATGATCTCATTGTTGGGCTCAGCGGCATGCGTGTCGGTTGCCGCGTGGATTGTGGTTGTGTTAACAACATCGGCTACGCGGACGACATGGTGCTGCTGGGCCCGACAGCGAGGTCGGTCGAAGAGATGCTGAAGATCTGTGCTGACTACGCTGCTTCTCATGGTCTCCACTATAACAATAAAAAGTGAGAATACATTGTTTTTAAGGCCGCCGGTAATAATCTTCAAGACTTCTCAGAAGTAACCCTTAACGGCATGAACATTAAAAGAGTAACGTCTTTCAAATATCTAGGTCATTACATTACCAACGACCTTAAGGACAATGCCGACATTGAAAGAGAGAATAGGGCTCTAGCGGTAAGAGGTAATATGTCGATCCGTAGGTTTTCTCGGTGTACAGAAGAAGTAAAAATAACGCTTTTTAAAGCTTACTGTCAAAGTGTCTACACAGGGAGCCTATGGGTTGACTACACCAAACGGCCGCTGGAGACCCTACGTGTAAAGTACAATAATATTTTTAGGATGATGTTGGGCTGCCTCGTTTCTGCAGCGCATCGGGGATGTTTGCAGAGTATGAGACGGATGGTTTTGCTGCCATCCTCCGGAAAAAGACAGCATCCTGATGCGCAGAGTGCGCAGTGCGTGCAGAGGACAGTCCCAACAGCATCCTACAAACTGTGGCTGGTAGGATTACCCCTACCATGTGGCAACGCTTCATGAGAAAGGTGATTTGAAAATGTAAAAAAAAAATAACCTACTAACACTAATTTATAAGCACTTTTCTTGTTATTGTTACTAACAAATTATGAAACTCGTTGTCTGAAATAAAAGAATTTTAATTTCAATTTAATTTTTAATTTTATGTATTGTTTTGTTGTTTGGTGGTCTGCGGTAGTATGTAAATTTTATATAAATATAGAAATTTATTTCTTTATTGCACCTGTAATACAGAGAATAGCTCCTGGTAAAAAGTGCTATACTGCTATTAAATTTTCTAGCACATACATATCATCACACCTATATCCCACCGGAGTAAGCAGAGACCTGCTACGCTCCTGACAAACCTTCACCTCTTCCACTCCTACCTGTTATACATGCCCGTTATTCGTGATACTTTTAACCCGGCCTTGTTTAATAACATCCCGTATCTCATCGAATGTTTATGCCGAGGTCTACCTCTCCCCACGCTTTCATCTATATTCGCTCTATAAATTTGTGCAGTCAGTCTACCCAACATTCATTATTTCTATATGATCAAATCATCGAATCATCGTGTTACCAACGTTACTTTTGTTGCTCCAGGTATAATCAAGTACAGTTAATACAAACGAAGCGAATAAGGACGACCTCGGCGGGTGTTATAGTAGGTTATACTAGGCGCTGGATGAGGAAGGTCTCGGGTTCGATTCCCGGCAGGACCATATTGGAAAATAAACTTTTCTAAATTGCTTCTGGTCTGGGTGTTTTGAGAAGTGCTCCAGAATCCCGTTGTTCTGGTACTCATAGTACAGGGAAATATCTAGTTTGAGATCAGGCAATTGGTGTCGTTGTCTCGCATATTATTATTATTAAGTAATCAAATTAAAATTATACTCAACGATTATGTCATACACACAAAGCTACCACCTCATTTACATCTACTTGTTCGAAGAATAAAACACGCCTATAAATTACTTGCCGCTATGTTACCAGGCTCATAGCGGAATCCTTAGATCATAAAGTACCATAGACTAAGCATCTGTACTTTTCACTCCAATGAAAAACGATATTCCGTTTTATTTTTACGCGTTGGAAACAAATGAATTTCAATCCTAGTAATACCGAATTCTGATAGAGTTAGAAAAATTTGCAACGCACAAGTACAAGCGAGAAGGGTAAAGGTTAACCAATCGAGTATCAGTCGGTTGAGTCCAAATTAAAATTGAATAAGACGGACTCTACGAAAGTAACATTTTTAAATAACAGGTTATATTTATAATACCAAGCGACAAGACTTAGAAGTCGTACGCCTGGTGGTAAGTGATACGCCTGTCCATAGTAGTTGCAGTGCCATTCAGAGCTTTAAATCGCAAAGATCTGAGGGTTACTGGGGGTTACCTTGAGATATAAATTGACAAGTCCCATGTGCCTGTAATTTCACCAACACCCTTACCCTTCAAAACCGGACCGCGCTCACATTACTGCTTGGCGGCAGAAATATGGATTCTGAACATTTTCGCCTATCAATTGTACACGTTTTTAAATTTTCTTTTTCATCCTGTTGATTTAACTTGTAGCAACTACTATATGTATTTAAAACAAACTACATTGATTATAAATACAAAGATCGAACACACAGAAAAATTTTCGTCTAGACTTTCGACTAGAACCCATGTCCTTGCTGCACCGTAGCATTGCTCTAACCATCTGAGCCACGGGTCCATTAACCGAGTCGTCGAAATTCTCCTATGTGTTTTTGTTATAGATGTTTGCACTAACTTTTCGGCTTCTGTTGCCGCTAGTGGAGTACTAAAACTAGAGTACTTCACTGATGAAGTACTATGATACCTGTAAAGGTATCTGCGGTAAGAACGTTATTCAAAAACCTGTCACTAGCGGCGACAAAAGCCCAAAAGCCAGTACAAATATCTATGACAAAATCCCATAGGAGTATTTCGGCAACTCGGTTACTGGACCCGTAGTCGGTTACCGTGGTTATAGAAATGCTACGGTGCAGCATGGGCGTGGCTTCAAGACCACCGGGTCGACGCAAGTTTTTCTGTGTGTTCGATTTTTGTATTCACAATCAAACTAGTGAAGTTATTTCACAAAAAAAATTCAATAAATACAAACTACATTTTTAAAAGCAAGAATGGACAAACTGTTTTATTTTCTAATTATTTAAAAAAATAAGCCATTTCGAAAGTAGTAAATTGAATATAAAAGCAAAACGACAACTTAACTGACCTCAGATTTAACTGTAAAATGTACAGTCAAGAGCAGACCAAGTTTGACATTTTGGATCGTTGTTGTCATAAGCATCGCAAAATTGAATTTAAATCTTAAAGCGCTCACAACACTAGGTATCAACTGAAAAACAAGCAGCTTCGGAATTTGGAGAAAAAGAGAATCCACTTAGAATAATAATAATAATATTAACGTACAGTCGAAGTCCTATGATATCTAGCCCTGTATTTTTGTTCTCCGTCCGACATATGTCCGAAACAATTACTGTAAAATAAGTAATACTCGCCCAATTAAAAGATGCATGATGCGAATGAAGCTTCATACTTGACATTGTTTTTTTAATTTGGTCGAGTATTACTTATTTGACACTTTTGATTTGATATGAAGCGCCCAGTTACAGGAGGTGAAAGTTTTCGCGCGGCCGCCGCGCGGGGTGAGCGCGTTGAAATTCGTGTCCAGTAAATACGCCCTAATTGTTTCAGACGCTTGTCAGACAGAGAACGAGAGTAGATCCCTTAACCGACCATTTGGTTCTGGGTAGATAAATGTAAAGAAACTTAACCTTAAATATGTGAGCGGTAAAATTTATTTTGATATGACTTCCTTATTACATCATTAGTGAATGACGCATTAATAAACTTTTTAAGCCACTTTAATGTTTAACGTATTCTTACTTAAATACAGAATTCAAATTTCAACCATAAATGCGTGAGAAGGCTCTCCTAACCAAAAGGTTAGCTAGAGGG